GGCCAAATCAACCACAATCCACTGATGGAAGTATGTATGGTTTTATGATTCCTTATAGCATGCAAGGAGGTAAGTGTTACATCTATTACGCGATACATTTACTCTTACAGACAATCCTAATCAAGCTCCTGTACAAGTCAATCCACAGACTGGTCAACCTGACTATAGCGCTCAATGGGCGGAGTATTATCGGTCATTAGGCATGCATAGAGAAGCAGATATGATTGAACAACAAGCAAAACAAGGAAAGCAAGATCATAATCAGCAAGGAGGTAAACATGTTTACAATGTTATGTCGTAAAGAAAATCTTTATTGACAGATGTAGCATAATTTTTTGCCCAAATTCTACCAAAGATTAAAATATTCTCTAAAATATTAAAATATTCTTAAATACAATGTTATTAAAATATTTTAGGTAATTCACAAAACCAATCTAATCCAACAACAACGGGCACCCCTGGGCCAAATCAACAGCCGCAACAACAGGCGCAGCAGCAACAGCAGGCAGGTGCCGCACAAAATGGCGGTCAAGCCGATTATAGCGTGCAATGGGCAGAATATTACAGAAGCATCGGTAAAATAAAAGAAGCAGAAGCGATAGAAGCTCAAATGAAGGCGGGCAAGGTATTTTCCTTAAAATATAATATTCATTGTTGTATTTTAATATGTTGTATTTTTTTATATTGTATGTTATATCATATGTAATATTATTGCAGCTCGGAATGCAAGGAAACCAAATGGCCCAGCAACAAATGCAGACTCTTCAGGGACAATCGGCTGGTCCACCAGGTACTACGCCTAATGCATTCCCTCAAGCTTACGGAAGTTATCCAACGATGAACGCTGGTTCTGCGCCAACTGGTTATTACGCAGCGAATACTGGATCCAATTCTCAACCACAGACGGGACAGCAAAACCCATCTTTTCCAACAGGATATCAGAATTATCCATACACACAGTCCACTTCTGAGAATTAAACTTCCATTTGAAAGAAAGGCAAGCTGTAAGTAAACCTTAATACGATATATATATATATATATACATATACAATAGGCGTTTAGAAAATTGTATGAAGCATACAGTTTTAACGATTATTATAGATCAAGTTCATTATTACAATTTAGTATATTCATCTTTATTTGACAAATAGTTTTGTAAAAAAAACTTTATTTCATACAGTAGATAAAAATCCAATAACTTGTTTAATAGTGCTAACTGTTAAATGAAAAACTAACAAATAATGATTATTGTTAAAGTTCATATAATTTTCTAAATGCTCTTGTTGTTATATTAAACTGATATAAATTTGAGTATTTTATTACATATTGATAAATATATAAATCCAACATCAAGAAGTCATAATTTTTATTTTGTTTGTATGCAGTCCATTACCCTATTTGAAAATTTGATTATTTAATAGTTACTCTCTTAATGATTAAATTATTTATTTATCTTCAGTTATATATTATTTTGATACTCATCTTTATATTGGCTTGATATTCCGACATACTATAAATCAATGGTGTAAGAATAAGGAAATGTTATCTACTGATATTCATTGAACCTCTTTCAGGGAATTTGAATTAAACTTTTGCAAAACATAAAATCTATGATAATTTCATGGTTCATATGATGATTTGAATAACGATATATTTTACACCTTTGAAATAAAATCTGTTTCTTGTGTACATGGATCATCTCTTTTTACTATAATTATTTGTTTATTTCAGATAGTTTTCAGATAGCTTTCCATCCGGATGCGGTTAATACCTGCTATATCTCCATATATACTTTTATCATAACTAGTTGACTGCTTCATAATCTTCATATATCTTTGAGAATGTCATGAGAATCGATTATATTCTGTTTATACTATAAAACGTCTTGTGTTTTTTATATATATACACGTACATATATATATATATATATATATACTATAGGATATCCATCGTTCTAAGTTTAAGTAAAAAGTATCGAGCAAGAGAAGTTGATTGAAATTAATATTATAAATAGTATCAATATGATATCTGTGTTTTACTTATCATATTGTATGTATTTTTGTTCCATAACATGTATTATTGTAATATAAGTTAAAGCTGGCAGGTGAAGCAGCGGGTCAGAAAGTGGAACGAGGGATCGACATCTGTACCATTTTATTGCCATCCTCTCTTTCTCTCTTTCTCTATCTATCTATCTATTTATCTATCTATCATCTATCTATCTATCTCTTATTCTCTCTTTCATTAAACTTGTTAAACTATATCCTTAGAAAAATGCGTTGTTATGAACGATATATTACTATAATAGATTATTACATATATCTTGATAAGACACTTATTTACCTGAAACACTCGTGTTTTATTATAACTATAAACCTCTTGACTCTCTCTCTATACGAAATGCTATAATTGATACAGCTGCCATGTGTTTCATTACTCATGAAAGTTCTTCTACTATGTATACGAAAGATGCATAATATGACATTTATATATGCATATGTTCTATTGCACTTGTGTTAAATACAATGTTACTTTGGTTTTTCGTTTGCTTTCTCGTGAAACACCAATACTATTTTTAGATATTTGGAGCAGCCAATTAGAGAGGTTTACCCGTCCTACAATATGTCATGGCATGGGACATCTACAGTTTAAAATGTTTCATTCAGCATTAATCTACATGTATACAAAGGAATCAGGACCTGCGAACCAGAGATTAATCGGACGGGATATACATAACTTATAATATGGAATATAATTTACTAACAATATTCTAAATGTTACTTAGCCAGTATTACATGTGCTTTTATACGATATACATAACGAAGTATATTGGCTTTTCATTTCTGATAATTAAGTATCAAAAGACTTAACTAGTCATATGTAAAATATTTCAAATTTTTGTATATCTTTTTATTACGTGTTTCAACTAATTTATATAAATATAAACGGATACAGAATATATCCATTTAGGTCGGAAGTTTTTTGTCCGATCTATAAATTTTTTGGTAAATTTGATCGGCAAAAATTTTATCAGATACAATTTCTTTGAATAGTCTTTATTTTTCATATTAAATGAGATAAAGTTTACAAATAAGATTGTAATGAAGTAAAATTGATTTACCATTAATAAAAGATTCATTTTATTTTAACGCAATCTTAATTAGAAACTTTATTCCATTATATGTAATATATCAATGTGCTTCCTTACTAATGCAATTATTGTACTTTTTGATTTTGTCTTTAATATTTCTCGTCTATAATATGCAATGTTTGAAACAATGTGTATAAAATAATACATTAACTATACTGATTAAAAAGAGATAAAATTTGAAATATATCTAATATTCAATAATCTTTCTAGATATATTCATAACTAGTAAAGTATCTATAATAAACTTTAAAACACATATCTATATACTCTCATTTTTTCGGTAAAAAAGAAAGTTAATGAAAATCTTAGTATTTTGTTACAATAATTTGATTACGTTACAATTGAAAGTTAGGTAGGAATGATAAATATTTACATATTATTATTTTCATTAGCTTAACGCAATATGAAATTACAAACTGTTTTAAAAAATCAATTTATGTCTTCAACTACAGTTTGATTGTAATGTTAAAAAATTACACATTTTTAAAAAATATGATATTCCATACAAAATTAATATGTTTATGTTTATACTATTTCAAGAAATACGAATTACTTTTAGAAGATAATTTGAAAAAATTTGTCATTTCTTAAGATAAAAAGGATATTATTTCAAAATTAATATAAATTTATATAAATTTATATAAATTTACATAAATTTATATAAATTTACGTAAATTTACATAAATTTATATTTGGCTTTGTTACTTATGTGTTTGATGTAACATAGGAAGTATGTATCTAGACATGTAGTAATACTTTTTTTATGTTAGTATTTATATATATCTTCCACGCATTAATATTTGTTAATAAAACAATTTATGTTTTCATTTGGTACATTTTGTGGCATTATTTCAATTATATTTATAATTTAATTAAAAGATATTTATAATATATATAAATTTATTATATTACTTGAAAAATGTTTTGAATAAGGCATCAAACGAAAAATATATATAATAATTATATGATTTTTTTACATTATTTAGACATTACATTTTTATTTTATAAATATAATGCATAGTCGAGTAATTTTCGTAAATATTTCTTCTATCACAATATGAAAATTTTTTGTTGTAAATTTTATGCATTATTTCATAATATTTTTAATATTACTTGCACAGATATTAATTATTAAATAAAATTAGAATGGTAAAATATAATGTAATAAGACATGTATTATAAGTAAAAAAAAACAGGAACTTTACTCATGGATCATATGTTAGGTTTAATTATGTTCGAGGGATTATTTATGTACAAGTTTTAAATATCTTATACGAAATCTGTTTATTGCGATTATAATATAGAAAATATGATAGAATATAAATAGGGCGATTGTTCGCTCCATATACATTACTGGCAAGTATTTTAATCAATTATATTGTCAAACCTCTAGTATCGGTATTTACAACCTCGTGAATTATGTTTTTGTTTTATTATAATAGCACAATAATATTTCTGTCTTTTTTTTTATGTATACTATAAATTTCTTTTATCAGTTAAAATATTCTTCTGTTATATTTTATACTTTGTGCACATAATTAATTAACATTGGCGAATGTTTCAGGGACAGGCGCAACAGAAAACTTTCCAGTTTCTCTAATCAAGAGAAGCAAATAGCAAATATGTACGAAAAATTTTCACTTATAAATATTTCTGTAAAATACTAAACCGAGAGTAGAGTTTACTATAGGTAGTACAGTGCACATTTCATATAAGGATTGTAAAATACACATGTGCACAAAATATTCATAATAAAAAGAACAACGACACATATAAGCTAATATTACTCATTCGTTGTTTAAATATGAAATGTATAATTAAAGATAATTAAAGCATCTCAATTTATGGCTGTAGGATAGATTGATACATAATGATATATGATTGATTATTCAATAACAGAATGTCTTCAATGATATGAAACGGCGGCTTAATGTAACGAAATTCTTTATTTGTGCATGAAGGATTATTGTATAACGTTCTTTCATTTGAGCATAATTAATTCGTAATACTTAAACATTATTACACGATACAGTGGTAAACATTTTACAAGATTGCATTTTCGTCCATATATAAACATTATTTGCCAGCAAATAATACACGATCAAATATTGGCGTTAAACATTTTTTTCCTAAGCCTTTTACTAAGGAGCACAATTTAATAATTATAATCTTTATATTACTGGGGGTGGTCCGTACAAGGGATTTAATTGTTGCGTGCAGCGTATAAACGTCGCTCGTCGTGGTAATTCGCGCAAACGTTGAGCTCCTATATAAGTGCAGGCGGATCTTAAGCCGCCCAGTATATCCAGCACAGTGTTTTCGACTAAACCCTTGTAAGGCACTTCAACAGTTTTCCCTTCCGAAGATCTACGCATTGAAATAAGGACGGACGATTTTCCATTAATTACCTCAACGCACATACTTGTTTGTAGCGCTATAACTTGTTGCAGTCTCACCTGTAGTCTGCAACACCACCAGCGTGCTTCATCATGGCTGTATTGGAGGACATTCCATAAAAAAGTTTGAACGTCTTTCCATTCTTTTCTATAACTTCGCCCCCACATTCATCGTGACCTGCAAATATTCCGCCTGCCATGACAAAGTCTGCGCCACCACTGAACGCTTTCGCTAAATCTCCAGGGCAGGTACATCCACCGTCCTGAACAATAAACATCGATCAGTAAACATAAACATAAATAAAAGCGAGACCTTTCAACGATTATTTATGCCATTTGTGATACAGAATATAGTAAAATATTTACAGCAATAATGTGGCCTTTCAATCCATGCGCCGCATCCGCGCATTCAATTACGGCGCTCAATTGTGGATAACCAACACCGGTTTTCATCCGCGTTGTACACACGGAACCTGGACCAATTCCTACTTTAATTATGTCCGCTCCTGAGAGTATCAGTTCTTCCACCATTTCTCCTGTTACAACATTTCCTGCCTGTAGTGGCAGCAATTAATCTTTTTGTTTAAATATAAAATATGCATTGGCGTTTAAATAATTGAGCCTATACAGGGTGTCCTAAATTAAATGGCCAAACATAGGCCTGTTCTTTTTGGCTGAACTTTTGCACCAGTTCATCTTTCTTCTTCTTTCCTCCTAAAGAGATAAGGAAGAAAGATGAACTGGTGCAAAAGTTCAGCTAAAAAGAACAGGCCTTATAAGTATGTGTAGGGGATAAATAAATTAAGAGGAAAAGTTCGTTAGAGATGTGCTCGTTTTTGCTTCGTTTTGAAAAAAAAAAGACAATACGTAGTTTTCATTTTTGTACCTATTTGTTAGTTATTAATTCATACTTATTTATTCACGTTGTTACTTATTTAATGCAGATATAGTCTAAAATGTTGACCTTTTGCAGCAATGCACGCTTTGCATTTTGTACGAACAGCTAGCTCGTGTTGCCAAACATTGATTTAGTCAACATAATGACTTGCTGATCCGGCACTCTTGCTTGGAAATCGACATGCGTATTTTCGTACTGCCTCTGAAGCATTATCGCTGAAATTGTACACGGAAACAATAATATTCCGTTTCGAAAACAATATTTTGAAAATTACGATTTGTCTTTTTTTGCGATTTTCTTCAAAACGAAGCAAAAATAAACATATTCTTAAAGGTCTATTAGTTCATACCGATTTCCTATCGCTCCCGAAGTTTGGCAATTTAAATTTGAGACATCATGTACATAAGGATAATGAGATATTAAATTATACTTACAATTATAGTGTGATTCGGATATCGCGCTCTTACTTTTCTCACATACTCTACAAAATGCTGTGAATATCCGTTTGCAACATCTAAACATATGAATGATAATTCCGGCACAACTTCCAAAATGCTTGAAAGCCGTTCATAATCTTCTTTTGCTGTCCCTGAAGTTGCTGCTACATTCTTTGCGCAATCAGGATTTAACGCGATAAAGTCTTTCCATTCGTCTGCGGTATAATATTTATGAACCGTAGTAAAAAGACCATGCTAAAAGAATGTGCACAATAAGTAGGGCGATCCATTATACGTATATTCAAACTATTTGCATGGTCTCATGAATATATTAATAATGTTATATGTACAAGTTTTTAATTATATTTATTTAACGTATGCAAATATATGTATGCAGATATATGTATATGCAGATATACGTGTAGGTAGAAAGGGTCTATTGAAAAATTTTAAAATTTAAATCCGGTGAAAAATTTTTCAATTTATTCCGAAATGGATTGTTAAGTTATGTTACCTTTGAAAGAGCTTTTGCCATTTCAAACGTTCCAATTGTGTCCATATTAGAAGCCATCACGGGAATTCCTCTGTATGTTTGTTTAGAATTGCGAAATGTGATTTCTCTGAAAAGGTCTACCTGAAATAACAGTCAGAAGATCAGAGATTTTTATTTAAAAAATTAATTTATTTTTATATATAACAATACAAAGATTTTAGAAACAAGATATTTAGGTATCAAAGAACAGCATATTTAACTCGCACACATACACATAATTTTATGTATAACTGATATCTTTATACACCTATATAAAGATATATGAAAACAATACAAACTATTTTATTAATACTGGCATAGGACAAATATATATGTATCCAATAAATAAAATTAAAAGATTTAATATAACGTAATACATGCGAAAAAAAAAAAATTATATTAATAATCTCATTATAATAAAAAGTTAAAAAAAATACAATAATTTTTGTTAATTTGCAATTTATGTTAATTTTCTCATAAAAATATGCAGGATGCAGGGTCAGTCGACGTAAATTTAAACAGTGAAATCAATCCGGAGTACAGGAAGTAGCAAGAATTAAATCAATAGAGAAAATTTACGACTGCGGGACTATAAATTCGGGAGCTTTGACTCGAAGCGATCGTGTGGACGTTAATTCTGCAGGACGCATAATTCGGCCGACGACCGACGGCGGCCTGTAATTTATTATACACGCGCGCACGCACGTACACGCGTGCAATTCGAACGATCGAATTTAAAATCAAACATATTCGTTTCCGAAAATATACTCGGCGGATATATACGACTTGCGATATTGCGCAATGAATGTTTTTTTTTTTTTCCTCAACTCTCTTCTTTCGCCGAAGACGCGTGCAATTATTCTCGACGCGATACGAAGAACGCGATTCTGACTTATATGTATACCAAATTATATAAAGACGGCGATACTTACGTCCGATCGGCTTTTCAGCGTGCTCCGCTTCGGGCGCAGCAGCACATCTTTAAAGTCCAACTTTATGTCATTTATTATATTAGGCATTGCGGCGGTGCGGAATCACCCTCGGCGATCTTTAAACAGAAGACTATTCGACCTCGCTCACTGATTGCCACGTACCGAGAAGTGAGAACACCGGACTGGGGAGAACGGAAAACCTGTGATTACGGACGTTCTTCTACTGGCTGGTAGTCTGGTACTACACCCAGGCATGGCACATTTGCGCCGTTCGTGCGAGGAAGACAGCTACTTTTATCCCTCTCTCTCTCTCTCTCTCTTCCCCCTTTATCGAACCAGGGCGGTGCGGTCTGCGGGCGCTCTGAGAGTCGTGATTACTTATTCTGCAATATATACTCAGAGGGTGTGTATGTGTGTATTGGAAAAGGAATGTGTTAAAAAGTCAAAGGGTATCGCCGGACGTCCGCTTGTCAAAATTTATTGGAGGCTCATATTTTGATAATTTTTCTTAAATATCTACAAATTTAGTTAGATAGTTCTGAAAATTAATTTGTTAGATCATCAAAATATCATGTAAGAATTTCAACCATGATGAGGAATGTTGCAAAAATTTTTGCAACATTCCTCATCATGGTTGAAATTCTTACGTTTTGATATTCTGGTGACCAATTTAAGCGTCCTACATAAGTATTTTGATAATTCGATAGAATTATTTTCAGATATATATCTAGCTAAAGTTTTAGTTATTTTTTTTTCCGTGTAACGAAAATAATTCGTCACAGAGGAATCCCGCCGTGCTTCAAAAAATGCACATCATGAAACATTAATTATGCGTTAATCAAAGGCATAGAGAATGGACTGCGCGACTTTGTATCTAAGTAGTGTATCAAATGTGGTCGACAATAGTGAGAGAGAGGGACCGTGGGAGACGGCCAATCTCCCTCTCATTCTCTCTTCCATTATACCATTGAATGGAAAGAGATAGAAATGACCGTCTGCCATGGTCCCTCTCTCTCATCCCTATCGACCATTTTGACACGGATCGCGTAGTCCATTCTCTGTCTTTGGCGTTAATCCCGAACATTTCCGGCGAGATTTATGAACCGTCGATTTCTATCGAGTTGCTACTTTATGGAAATCGCGATGCAGCTGAAAGGTCAGCGTTCAATCCGGATTTTTATCACTCTGGATAAACGCCAGCCGATGGTCGCATTGCGCAAAATCCTGATCTTTGCGATGGCTCGAAAGATCGTAAAGCCGTCCCTGGGGACATAAACGTGTGTGTATGCACGTTTAATGTGCTAATACTGCAGATAACTTATCAGAAGGTCTAGACGACAACACACAACATCTAGAAAATTGAGCAGGCTGAATCTTTAAGTAAAATACTTATTAGGTGTTAAACTTAATTCTTGCCGTCTCCAAAATCGATTTGTTTCGAAGGGAAGATGAATGAATACCTTAATTAAAGTAATTTCCTCCATTTTCTATTTTATTACTAATTAATAATACTTTGATTAAGGTATTTCCCTTCGAAACAAATCAATTTTGGAGACCGAAAACGGCAGGAATTAAGTTTAACACCTAATACTTAAACGGTCACTTTAAAATATTTGATTTTTACATTATTATTAAATTTTAATTTTAATTGTCATTAAAGTTTCACCAAAAATTTTATTTGGCAAAACGTTCTCAAATCTATTAAAAATTATTTAAATCCAATAAACGTCAACTAATAATAATAACATCAATATTATGTATAATTATTTCATATTCAATGAAATGGATAAATAATATATGTATTTATTTATCCGAAAGTCCTATCCCTTTAATATTGTATTAAATAATGTATGTTACGTACATGTGTTGTATTACATTTATATTGTGAAATGCGAAATTATAACATTGATATTATGTTACTATTGGTGTTTACTGAGAAATTCTCTGAATTAATTTAATATACTGAATTAATTATATAATTCAACAATTTTTCGTGCATATCGCATATTTTTATGCTACTATTATTGGATATTAATTGTACCAATATAAGAACGATAGTTAAAGTCTATTAAAATGTCAAAGAGATGGACGGTTCCCATTTTGTATTCTAATCAACAGTTAATTTTAAATCAATCAAAGACAATAGATTCGAACTGAAGCAATATAGTTCCTTATGAATATTTTTAAAAAAGTCTGAAGTGTGACGTGTATTAAAGTGCAACGTATTTAAAGAGTTACATGTATTTTAAGAGAGTGTTGGCCGCAAAAGTATTTTAATATATATTTAAATGTATTTTAATATATATTTATACGTTATTCAAAAATATGATATTATACAAACAGAAAAAAAATAATATAAAATTATTTTATTATATGTGTAACATAAAAATCACTTCTGTATGCCAGAAATAAGTATATCTACGTGAGTTCGTCATGTAAAATACACAACAAATAAATTTATGTTAACTAATTTATCAATTGGAAATTCTTCGTTTATAGGTCAAAGGATTAGAGATTGTTATGATATGATAACAAACCATATTTTCGTCAGATTTTCTTATATTTAATTCTGCAATGTTCTTTTCTAATTTTATAACGTTGTACATAATTTACGAATCAGTGACACAAAAAAAATGTATATAGTTAATAGATTATTTTTACATATTTGTTACATTTATATATATATATATATATACACATATATATACATCTATATATATATGAACACATACTGAATCCACATTACTTTTTTCTAGATCTACAATATACACAGTAATGATTGATGTATTAAAGTTTAAACAAATGGCACTATACTATAATGGAATGATATAATTTGAAATACATTGATTTAACTATCGCACGTAATTTTATGGAAATTAGAAATTGATGAGAGGTCAGAACCAAACTAAGCGTAACGTAGCCAGACTTTAACAATTGTACTCCATTAATAAAATTGTATCTTTAAAAACTTAAACTGAATCTATTTTTTTAATTAAAAGACAGTACGTTAAAATAATTCTTATGATGCGCTCATGTGCATTAAGTACAAGAAACTTTTATATAGCGAATCATATGAATTCTATTAAATTAAATTAAATTGAATTAAATTGGTATTTTAATATACAATTTATAACACATGCAATTTTTGTTAAAAATAGCAGTACTTAGAAGGCACTGAAAATAAAGATTGATGAGACCTCAATTTGTCGGCAGTTACGCGGGGCAGTGTAACGAAAGAGAGAAGAGAAGTTCATTGTTTACATGTTTTTGAATTCACCAGAACCATTAGCGTTGAGCATAAGTATGTTAGGATTTTCCTTCTCGAAGGCAGTCGCGTCTCTACCTCCGGGTCTTTCTTCCTGTCCCCATTCTCCTAGAGTTCCACGCATCACGTCTGGCTGTTCCTTCAGTTTTTGCTCCTCCTTCTATGAGATTACTAACGGTTTATGGTCAAACGCAAACGCATTGACAAATTGTTTTTCAAGATTTTCAAGATTTATTTGATTTAAATTAATCAGCCTTCATTCATAATATTTATGACAAATGCAGAGTCTATGGGCATTTTTGCCAATATTGAAACATGGATGATAATTTTTATCCAAGTATATTTATTAGACATTGCAGAGATAATTTTCATTTCAAATAGCTAAATGTTCATGATAAATTTTGTGATCAATACTAATTGATACGAAAACTTGGCACATGAAAAAGGTCATATATCGATTAAAACGTTATTCAACATTATTGTTTTTCACAAACCTGTTTATCTTCCTGCGCAAACTTATCAAACATGTTCGCATAAAGTTTCTTCTCTTTAGCTAATTGCTTCTTAATAAGAGAATTACAGATTAAAATTTGTTTAGACGCGGCCGTATTTTTCGGCTGTACTTCTAGAACCTTCTGGAAATCATTAATAGCGATTTCAGGCGATGAGAGCCCAAGATGCGCTTGTCCTCTTCTGAATAGAGCCTTTTCATTCTGCGAATCCACTTCTAAAGCTTTAGTACACTCGTCTCTAGCCAAAACGTTTTCATTGGTTTTCAGGTAACATAAAGCGAGGTTTAAGTGAGCCGCTATTACGAGATTATCTCTCTCCTTTTTGAGAATTAAATCATCCTCGAAAGTCGATGCATCATTTAAGTATTTGAAAACTTTCTGGTATACTTTAATGGCTACATTGATTTTATCGGACGTCAAGTACTTCGTTCCTTTTTCTTTCTGCATCTTTGCTTGTTCTATCTTTTCTGGTGATTTCATTGACCATATGCTTGCCTCCTGTTAAATAATATTTAGTAATTTAGAAATTTACAGAATTAGAAACAAACATTCAGCTCCAATAATCACAATTACCTTCTCGAAGTTCTGCAATTCTACTTCATATTCTACGTCCGCATTCGGTGGAATATTAAATTCTGGATTTCCTTGTTCCTTAAATGCATATTTGCTTTTAATTAGCAGTCTAGATTTCTCACTCTTCAAGAAGCGCTGCAATGGTATTTCTACACCGTCTATAATTCCTGCAACTTCTCCTTCTCCAAGAACAAATTCTATATCTCTATCTTCAAATACTTGACCATTGTATTTTCCAGTCAAGTGTACTAAGGATATATAAAGAATTTATTAGATAAAGAATACACACATAGCACATCATATTTTATACTGTTAGATCGTGATACTAACTTTTTACAGTACTACCTTCCTCTGGATGAGCATAGCCTTGGCCGGCAACAATTTGAAATCTCTCAATACTTTTATCTTTATTCGGAGATAAATCTTCTCCGGACCAATCAAGCAATTCAATCTAGAAAAACATTAGAATATGTTACATATTAGAATATGATTGTTAACTTCTCTGATTAATTAGTAATATATATTACATATATACAGATTTTAATAAATATTTACATACAATATATATATTAAAATATTTCTAATTCATATGCATATAATCATATTAAAAAATCTTATAACAATTCTGAAAAACTGCTTTTTTTAAACACATGATTAATACATTATGTAAAACATTCTAGTATTGTAGTTTATTTTAACACTAAAAGTACCAAATGATTATTATTGATTGTTTCTAT